CATTCGCCAGACCCCAAAGAAATCCGCCGCAGCGGCGCCCGGCACGACGCAGCCACAGGAGAGCCAGCCAGCACCCCGGGTAGCCAGCTCCATCGCAGCCTGGGGCGTTCGAAATGCGCGTGGTGGGGGCACAGACCCGGCTGCCGCGCTGCCCCCAGAGGGGAGGGGGGGAGGCCCGTTTCCTTAGTGCTGTCAGGAACTCGGTGGAATGCATCAGACCAGAATGGGCCTCCATAGTCCTTGCTTCCACCACTGGCTGAGTGACCGCGGGTGAAGCACAGCTCTGCGCCTCAGTTTCCCCCTCAGCAAAATGGGGACACGGCTGCCCTGGGGGAAGCCCTCTGCGTGGCCAGGGGTCATCACAGTTCTCGTTTAAAGGAGCTGAAACACCGAGGACTTTGAAGCCGCAGTCATGGCCACATGTGCGTGGCAGCCCACCGGCTGCAATCCGCTTTCTTCCAGTTTGGGCCCCCCGTGCGGGACGCTGTGACGCGCGCGGAGGAGCAGGGAGAGGCGCTGTGCATGTGCTGGGGTTTGCTGGGCCATACACCGGCATCCCTGGGGACTGGAGGGGACAAGCAGCTGGAATAGTTTGCCCCCGGAGAATCTCCTCCCGGGAAGCCCGGCCAGTAGCGTAATGGACACTCCAAGGGTGCGTCCAGTTTGGGCCCCCCGTGCGGGACGCTGTGACGCGCGCGGAGGAGCAGGGAGAGGCGCTGTGCATGTGCTGGGGTTTGCTGGGCCATACACCGGCATCCCTGGGGACTGGAGGGGACAAGCAGCTGGAATAGTTTGCCCCCGGAGAATCTCCTCCCGGGAAGCCCGGCCAGTAGCGTAATGGACACTCCAAGGGTGCGTCCTGCTGCTTGCAAAGCCTCCCAAGGAAGTCCTGGCCAGCATGGGTGGCGGGTGAACCGAGGGCTGGGATTTTCCCTGTCTCCCCCGGGCAGACGGAACGCCGACCCCTGCCCCCAGCGTTACACACGCTGTGTTTTTTCTTTGCAGGTTTTCCGGCGAGCCAACAAGAACGGTGAGTAGTCAGGGCGTCGTGTCCTAGCCGCACTGCCGGCGGGACAGTCGATGTCGTTCTTTTCTTTCTCTTTCTGTGGTTGGTTTGCACCCCAGCGCTATGAAGCCACAAGCCATGTGTGGGCACAGCAACGTATGTCCACGGCTTCTCCAGAACCACACGGGGCAACTCTGTTTTCTTAGTGTGAGCCCAGCAAATCATAGAGTCCTAAAACCCAAGAATTCTAGAAGTGGAAGGGACCTCGAGAGGCCATCGAGTCCAGTCCCCTGCCCTCACGCAGGACCCAGCACCATCCAGACCCTCCCTGGCAGGTGTAACCTGCTCGTAAATATCTCCAGAGATGCAGAAATAATCAACCGCCAGCCCAAACAGGTTTCCTTCTGCAGGTTTCAAATGAAATAAGCTGCTCTTGGGCTCACAGTTCATAGAGCAAAACCCGTGCGGTTCCCTCCTGGCAGGTGCACACCAGTGCAGACGCATTTTCCTGGTTCTCCTGGTGTTGTGCACGTCTGACACGGGATTGCGAGCAGGCCCTCGTGAGCATTGTCCCTGCCGTATGGTGTGGCAGGGGAAGAAGAGGGCCTGACCATCAGCGCTGGACCTGCCTGCAGCCCCGCACCTGGCCTTGCTACCCTAGCCAGGCCTGGGCTTTGCAATTTCCCTGCAACCCAGCGAGGTTCCGATGCTGCTGCTGTTTCTGTTTCTGCCTTTGGCTGTTGCGGTGGCCTCCTGGCCCACACCGACAGCCAACTCCCAGCCTGTCCGAAAGCAAGAACTCCCCCCTGCAGCCCGCCTCTGGCCGCCCGCTGGCCGGGCGAGCAGCGTGAAAGCCAAGCCCCCTTCTGCATGGGCACGTGATGAGCCTCGTTCTCAGCTCGCTCCTGCCAGAGCGAATGGCTCCCCATGCCTGTGAGTGGGGAGTCGAAGGGCAGAGCCATGGAGTTCGAGGCCAGAGGGGCCCCACAGATCACCCAGCCAGCCCTCCGGTTCCCCGCAGGTCGCCAGGAGCAGCCAGTGCTAATCTCAGCAACTGCCTGAGCCCAACGTCCGTGCTGCCCACGGGAGCTGGGCTGTTCTGTGCCCAGGCAGGGGTGCGCCAGTGCCCGTGCCCTGGTGGCCGCAGGGGTGAGCAAGAGCTACCCAGCTAGTCCTGGCATGTGCCCTGCCCCCCGGTCACTGCCAGCTGCCCTCCCCCGTTCTGCCAGCTGCGCACTGCAGAGCGCCTGCCCCAGAGCAGAGGGCCACAGGCACCGCTCAGCCCGGGGCACCCGGCTGGGAACTTGTCTGTGTAAGGTCAGGGGTCCTCCTGGGAATCGCTCTGCCGATGGGCCCTGGCCGGGCAGGGGAAGGGCTGGCCTCGTGCCTAGGCCAGGGCTCTATTCCCAGGGCAGCTGCGGGCTCCGATCCCCTCGCCCCAGCTGGATGCGGGCTGTTTCCTTCCTCCGGTCACTTGCCCGGCTGCGTCTGGTCGCTGAGCGTGTTGGCACGTTGGGGCAGAACCGTATTTTGCCCTTTTCCGCCGTGGCGCAGTGAGACAGGCGAACGGTCACGCACCGAGGACCGGGACCCTCCCCCCGCGTGCCCGGCGCATCCCCCGGCACTGCTCCCTCGAGCTGGGCGCCGCCCCGGCGTCCCCTGAAACGCCCATTTGGCCGGGTCGGGGCTGGCTCCCTCGCGGTGTGTCCACCAGCGGGCAGAGGAGTCTGGTGTCAGGGCACCCGGGTTCTGATCCCGGGCAGCCCACGCGTCCTGTACTGACTGTACGTGGCCGATCCACCTCTCTTTGCAGCCACATAATTCTGCCCCCCTTGTGCTTCTGTGCAGACGATGGCAGGCTGTCCTTTGGGGAGTTTAAGAACTATTTTGCTGATGGGATTCTGAGCGCCGAGGAGCTGTGGGAGCTGTTTAGTGGAGTCGACGGCCGTCATTCCGAGTAAGTACCCTGCTGCCCTCGCGGCGTCGGTGTCGCTCTGCTGTGCACCGTGACCCCGGCTCTGGGCCCTGGCTGCCGAGACCAGAGCCTCTGGCACAGCAGGACAGGGTAAGGGGCGCCCCACGGGGCAGGCCCAGTGGTATGATCAGCCCGTCGGGGACAGCTGGAGAGGTACAGGGAAGGGCTATTAAAATGATCAGGGGTACGAGACCGGAGGAGAGATTCAACTGACGGGGACTTTCCAGCTTGCGAAAGAGACAGCTAAGTGGGGACCAACGCGCCTTGGCTGGTGCGAAGAAAGTGAATAGCTGGCCCAGTTTGACCAAGAAAAAACCTGAAATGATGTTTATCTAAACAGTCCAGGAGGGGAAACTGAGGCAGGCTGCCTGTTGCATGAGCCCAGGCCACGAGGTGGCCCACCAGAGAGCGCCCAGATGATTTGAAGGGGGGCACTGGCGGGAGGGGGGGCTGCTGGGGCCACTCCTGCCCGAGAGCCCCATTGAGTCGGTGCCCGTGGCACACATCCCCCGGCTGAGAACTGCTCGTCCTCTGCACCGGCTCGTGGCTCGGAGCCGCCTTGAGCTGGGACTGTCACTTAGCCCTGGGGGGGAGGCCTGTTGCTTTTACTCATGCCGCTGGGCGAGCCGGGGCTTCGCTC